TATTACCCTTGGAGAGGGATAAAATGATGAACTTACACATGAATATAGGCTGAAATAATGATTTGGTCCCTATACTATTTATTTTTGTTCAAACTAGTACGTATCTCAATCTTTGGTCAAAATAGTCTCTCGATTTAGTCTTTTCCCATTAGTAGAAATTAACACTGTTAAATTTATTGAAACATGATACTTTTTGTTTGGTTCAAGTTGAATGTATGTCAAACGTCATGTGACATTTTATGTAATATTAACAAATTTTAGATATGAACCGGTTCAGACTGATCTATGAATAAAATTTTGGATCGACCTGAACTGTTCTGAAACTCAAAAAAATAACTCAAATTCCTAATTTCCAAAATGTCAATAATCAATGTTGTGCTTTTTAGATCTACTTATTTAGTTATAAACAGAAGATGGTGTCTGTCATGAGGACCGAGGAAGACATAGATGGGATTGAAGATGTATACTTGATGACATTTGGGTGACAAAGCCAGTAAAGGGCTTCCTCTTGGCCTGGAACTCCAGAGCTCAAGGAAGCCTTTGAAGGTGTTGGGGAGCTTCTTGATGATGCAGTAACATCAAAAGGTGATTTGAAAGCTATCATCGTCTATGATGAGCTTGATAATGGAGACGTGATAAGTGAGGGCTCAAAAGAGGTGCTAACTGATTTGGAAATTGATACGGCTGCATCAAGAGATCAGGGATGGACGTACATCAGTTTAGAGGCTTTTTATAGACCAGAATGAAGAAGAAGCAACATCAGGTTCAAAAAGAAGTTTGCCGGTGCTACTAGAAAAAGAATTATATTGGTAATTTAATTTTTTATTTATTTTTGGACCGAATAATAAATTATTTTATTTTATTTTCCTATTCATCTAGTTTGGTTAATATTGATTGTGCCTAATTATTCGTAACAATTGATGTGGGTTTCTCATTTTGTTTTGATTTTAAATACTTAAATTGAGATAAAAATATTTTTTTAAAAAAGCTACCCAACTAACGCAAGTTACAAAATCATTGTCTATTTTGAAAGAAATCTGGAACTTGTGTGGAAAATTTATTTACAAATCCATAAGTAGTGTGGAAAAAATCAGTTTATATCAAGAGAAAAAAAAAATGATAAATGGGTGTAGTTATCTGTACTGTGTTGATGGCTGAACTGCAGGAAAGAATTCTTTTTAGAGAGTGTGTGCGTGTGAGAGAGGCAGCGCAAGAGCGAGCCATTTATAGGGGTTTATGATTAAGCATATGATGAAGTTCTTCAAATTATGTGGTTTTGAATTTAAGTTGCAAATCGATGTTTTTCTTTTCTTGCTTGAAAACAGACGAGCAATTCATTTCATTGTTCTTTTATCTATTATGTTATAGAAAGGCAACGGCATGGCATGTATCCCATGAAGGCGTTTTTCAGACATTGCACACGACGGCAGCAAGATGCTGCACACAAGCTATTTTCTCATCCATTACATTCCATTTTAATCATCATCCTGGTGAAATCTGTCCCAAAACATCAAAGATTAATTTGTGAAACTAGTGGAAACCACATGAAACGCTATAATGTCTGAATGTAATTCTTAAAGTTTATTTGCACATAAAGATGATTGAATCTGCAAGCTTGACAATCCTTCATGCTTCACTTCATTGATTTTTAGCAGGTGGCAGCTCCATGTACCCTTAGGCAATGGTGCTCAATAAGTTGCCATCACTTTGTTTCAAGGTTTAAGGTTCATTTTGTTTTTTATTATGCTGAGACTAGTCTTCAAATCTCTGGCTAATTTTGCTTTTTGCATCTTTGAATTACCTTCATATCATGTTTTCTTATAGGTGTTATTACAAGAATTATTCCACCAACAGAGGCAAAAATAGGTTCTTTAAAACATTTATGTTCATCTACTTATTTTCTCTATTACTTTGCAGTGCATCTAATTTATTGTTCATTTTTTTTTTGGAAGACTTATTGTTTGCTAGTGCTTAATTTTCTTGATGCTTTTACTTATGTACTTGTTTCCCAAGGTATCGAAGGATTGAAGCAAGCTTTATATACACGAATTATTTGGAAAAGAATCATGCAAAACTGCCATTTCTTTTCGGTGAGAAACCAAACGTTAGCAAACAGATATAGGTACAATATTAGCAATCCTCAATATACAACATACAGTGTATCAGTCGTGCTTCATCTTCAAGGAATCATGGTAACCGATTCACCAGCTGAGGAAACTGTTTCAATAGCCATGTTACGCCTCTAATAACGACCTGTAATCAAAAGCAGGATTAGAAAAAAGGGTGAGGTCTGTAAACTGATGATTTCTTCTCACAGGTGCATTTGACTTCGGAACACGGATGAATTAGAGAGTTCTATAAATATATTGGGTTCAATTATCTTGATGGGAAAATAGTAATAGATTTTTGCATTTGATTTACAAAACAAAATTGAAGGTTACATTTACATACCAGAGCTGTCTCCCCAGGCTTGAATGCAGGTTCAACACTGTCTCTTCCGTATCTGTTATGGAGAAGAGCGGATTAGAACTTGAAGAACTCGTATCTGAATTCCTCAACAATGGCAATTCAGTTCTCCCGTTACAAACAAATTATATACAAAAGTCGAAGGTGGAAATAAAGGAGAAACAAAAGATTTTCAAATTGTATTAAAATATGTTTGGGAAATGTACTAAGTACTTTTGTTAAATTAATATAAAAATTACTTTTTTTAAAAAAAAATTTGTTCTGCAGAAAATTGATTAAAAAATAATAAAAATCAGCTCTAGTCTTAACTTTGAAATGTGCTATTTCAACTTGACAAAAAATGCGAAACTTAAATTTTACTCATTGTGGAATACAGAAGTTCACTTACATAATCTGTCGCTTGCCATTGACAATCTCCAACCTGTAGAAACTGCAACCTTTGCTGAAAGGAAAAGGCCTTTTCTTCCACTCTGTTACCATTTTCATTATAAAAATTGTTCTCGAGAGATATTTCAGAAAAGGAATTGCCGAATATATATACACATATAGAGTAACATACCTAGATGCCATGTAACTCCAACAGCTGCTGAGTCCTCAGTAGATATGTCATCAATAACAAACCGTAGTTCGGAGCGATTGATATAAATAAATTTCTTGAAGAACTCCAAGATTTTCTTCCGGCCGACGAACGGTTGTGGAAAAATAAGATCCTCATACACACAGTTCTCGGCAATGAGGTCTTCAACCGAGGCGAGATCTTGGTCGTTGATTCCTTCGTAGAAGCTCCTCACAACCTCCGATGCAGGTTTTGGTTCGTTTTCGGTGGCGGATTGAGCGGCTGTTGTCGTAGGAGTGACAGCGACCGTCTGATTGTCGGATAAGGATAGCCTGATTGCGGTGGTTGGCGTCCGTACAGTCTTCCAGAAGTTTCCCGAACTGGTTTTGAACTTATGGTAACCGATTGTTGAGGAGTGCAGAGGAGGCGAGCGAGTTGTTGAGGAGGAAGGCGAGAGGAGTGATCTGTTGCAGCCAATCATCATGCTCTGCAATGATGATATAGCCGCTCAAAATTTTTTCTGAAGAAAATAAATTCCGTTTTTTAAGTATAAATGTAAAAGCGCAAAAATCCATTTTAATTTGTTTATTAAAAAAAAAAATCCATGTTTATTTATTATGGCCAGAATTTTAATAATATTTTTAAAAAAAGAAGATATTGTTTTTCTATTGATATTTCGAATTTCTCCATTATATTATTTAATTGACTGTTAGATAAAATAATATTTCTGTTTGTATTTCGAATTTCTCCCGTAAAGAAACTGAGCGTCATGGAAGCTCTACCTTCCGTTACTCTGTCTCTACACCTGCAACCTTTCCCGCCAAATCCTCTCACCGCTCCCACCTCTGCCTCCAGTTCCGACGGCAGCCACCGTTTCCTCTCGGCCAAAGCCCGAACCAAATCCACAAGGAAAACCCACCTGAAATCTCCAAAATTTCGCACCAGAAACCCGAAACCTTTCTCAGAAAGAGATGCTTTCCCGTCATCACTACCGCTCCACACCAGAAATCCGCACGCTATTTGCGGAGACATCCAAAGATTCGCCAGACAGAACAAGCTTGAAGAGGCGCTTGCGATTCTCGACTACTTAGACCAGCAAGGCATCCCTGTCAACTCAACCACCTTCTCCACTCTCCTCGCGGCCTGCGTACGCTGCAAATCCTTACTCCACGGGAAGCAGATCCACGCCCACATTCGCATCAATGGCCTCGAAAACAACGATTTCTTACGTACTAAACTCGTCCACATGTACACTTCCTGTGACTCCATTGAGGACGCCCAGAAGGTGTTCGATGAAAGTACGAGCAAGAGTGTGTATTCGTGGAATGCTCTGCTCAGGGGCACTGTTATATCGGGGAAGAAACAGTATCGTAACGTGCTTTCTACCTTTTCGGAAATGAGGGAGTTGGGAGTCAAGTTGAATGTGTACAGTTTTTCTAATGTAATTAAGAGCTTCGCTGGTGCTTCCGCACTACGGCAAGGATTGAAGACTCATGGGATTTTAATCAAGAACGGGTTGCTTGATAGTTCCATTCTCAGGACTAGTCTGATAGATTTGTACTTTAAATGTGGGAAAATTAAGCTCGCATGCACGGTGTTCGACGAAATTCTTGAGAGGGACGTCGTTGTGTGGGGAGCAATGATTGCTGGTTTTGCGCATAATAAGCGACAATTTGTAGCATTAGAATTTGTTAGGAAGATGATTAATGACGGGATATATCCAAATTCGGCTATATTGACTATGATCCTTCCCGCCATTGGGGAAATTAAGGCACGGAAATTGGGGTTGGAGGTTCATGCTTATGTCTTAAAATCAAAAAATTACTCTAACCAACCGTTTATTCAGTCCGGCTTGGTCGATATGTACTGCAAATGCGGTGACATGAGCTCTGGGAGACGGGTTTTTTACGGGTTGAGGGAGAGGAATGCTGTGTCTTGGACAGCTCTAATCTCAGGATATATCTCAAATGGTCGACTACAGCAAGCTTTGAGATCAGTTCTTTGGATGCAGCAGGAAGGATTTCGGCCTGATGTGGTTACAGTTGCTACAATTCTTCCTGTTTGTGCAAAGCTGAGAGCTTTGAAGCAGGGGAAGGAGATTCATGGTTATGCCCTGAAGAACTTGTTCTTGCCAAACGTGTCATTAGTCACTTCTTTGATGGTAATGTACTCAAAATGCGGTGTGTTGGGGTATTCTGAGAAACTGTTTGATAATTTGGAGGCGAGGAATGTGAAGTCATGGACTGCAATGATTGATTCGCATGCGGAGAATGACAGATTGAGTGAAGCAACGGAGGTGTTTCGAGAAATGCAGTTTTCCAAGCACAGGCCAGATTCTGTAACGATGGCACGGATGTTGAGCGTTTGCAGCCAGCTTAAAGCTTTGAAACTAGGCGAAGAGATTCATGGACATACATTGAAGAAAGATTTTGAATCGATCCCTTTTGTTGCTGCCCGGATCATCAAGATGTACGGGAGTTGCGGAGCAATTAATAAAGCAAATATGGTCTTTGATGCAGTGGCAGTAAAGGGTTGTGTGACATGGACAGCAATTATTGAAGCTTATGGTTGTAATGAAAGGTTTACAGATGCGGTCAGTCTGTTTGATCAAATGGTGTCTGACGGATTCGTTCCAAGCGATTTCACTTTCTCGGTGCTTTTCTCGATTTGTGATCAGGCTGGATTTGCAGATGAAGCTCTTGGAATATATGATATGATGCTTCAAAGATATAAAATGAAGGCATCCGAAGAACATTGTCGTCTAATTGCCAGACTGTTAACTCGCCTGGGTCGAACGGAAGAGGCTCAGAGATTTGCAGGTAAATTATAGGAAGTTTATGAGATTTTTGTTTCGTTACAAATGAGTTAATTCTACATTTTTTTTTAAAAAAAAAAAAAGTAGTAAATTCAATTGTAACTAAAACCTAAATCTCATGAATTCACTTATAATTTACTTGACTTTGATAGGTTATATCTCTTATTTTCTTTCAGATAAGGCTTCGTTCATTTTTCATTTGGGTCAGTTTTCGTGACATAAAAAAGTCGTATAAATATGGGCCTTATAGGACTCGCGCGCGTGTGTGTATGAGTATAAGAATTGGGCTTGCCAGGAAGGGGAAAATGGTGTAAGAATTGGGCACACAGGATTTTAATGGAGATCTATCTTTATTTTTTGACATTAAACATATATATTAGAGTGAGATGATTAGTTTCCATTAAAATCTAACACAAATTAATGTTTTAATATTTAAAAATAACGACATGTTTTCTCATGGGTGACGGAGCTTTTCATAGGTTAGGGACATGTCATCTGACACTAATATGATTAAAAAAATTAAAACCTTTTAACCCAATAAAAT